TGGCAGATGATAAAATGGGCAAAACAATCCATTAGTTTAACACTCAAGGAAGGATCTTAGAAATATCCTAGAGACATGAAGTGTGCTCTTTTGAATGAACCAGTTAGAAAGATTGTAGTAACATCCTGGCGAGTTTTGCATTTGTAAGCACCACTCATATTTTCTTCAAAACATATTACATCGAAACATATTAGAGTTTGTGCCCAAACTCAAAGTGCCTCTGTAACTTCTTGCATCCATCTTCTTTTCCTTTGCTATACTGTAGTTTGTTTATCCTTCAGGACACACACTCAAATATGGCTGCCATCGTTTCTATTGGATTGGACTTCAGACCACAATCCTTAGAGAGAGAGAGAGAGAGAGAGAGAGAGAGAGGGGGGGGGGGGGATAAGAGCAGAGGAATCATTTATCTTTCGCTCCGAAACCAAGAGAGGCATTGTGTGTGTGTGTCTGTGTGAGAGAGAGAGAGAGAGAGAGAGAGAGAGAGAGAGAGAGAGAGAGAGAGAGAGAGAGAGAGAGAGAGAGAGAGAGAGAGAGAGAGAGAGAGAGAGAGAGAGAGAGAGAGAGAGAGAATTTGAGAATGTAAGAACTAGCGCAAAGTCGCCACCTAGTGTAGATTTGAAGGTAGTGTCACTGTTTATTGACTCATTGGTTTTACTTGAAGGTTTTTGCCATCTACACATAACGACAGTTTTATTGCTCAGAGGTTGCTCTCAGAGTACCGCCGGTGGTACACTTCAGGTTTCTTAATCTCACTTCTGTCAGAAAGAAACAACCGAGATATTAAAGATCTCATATGAGATTGTTCTTCTGTCCAACAGGATGTTTGACTATTTTAATTTAGATCTGTGCTCAGAAGTCGTGGAAAAACACGGACCCTCGAGTGATTGAGTCAAAGAGAGGAAGCGTCTGATGAATAATTGTGTGTACCACATTCACCTCTCCCCCTGCGTCTCTCTATTGTGTGCTTTTCTGCTGAGTGCTAGAACTGCAAAAATATCTGACACGTCTCTCTGTGGGAAATGCACCAGGGCCACGACCATTTATCAGCACATCCCACATTTACTGTATGTGTGTAAGTGGGTATGAATGTCAACATGCTCCATCTGGGTCACCCTATACTTAGTGCTCTTGATTAGTGTGTGTGTGTGTGTGAGAGAGAGGGCGAGACAACGAGGAGAAAGAAAGCAAAGCATGCAAACAGATAAACAGCTTGCACACACACCTGGATTGTTGCTGTAGAGAAAATGAAACAAGTCTCACACTCTGCTGTAGTTTGCAAAACAACTTCATCAAGAAGAACTTATTACAGTCTCATAAATAGATTATTATTGTTATTAATTCAATTCACATGTATCTGTATAGCGCTTTTCACAATACACATCGTTTAAAAGCAGCTTTACAGAAAATGCATATTCGTAGAATAGATTTAAATAGATTAATTATTACCATAGTAATTTTCCCCAAATTAGTATATGGTACTATATATATACATATTTGTTGTCTTGTTTTCTTGTTTAAAACATGAACTCACTTAATCTATCTAAGTTGGAACTATTATTTTGCTGTGTACTTTTTTTTTAGTAAGTGAACCCATGATACTGCCACGTGACTGAAAGTCTTTATTACCACAGTACTATCTCCAAAAACATGGTGTTATTGATACGTAATAAACATGTTAGTACAATGATGTCCAAAAAACTGTTTTTTCATCAGTTTTCATCAGTAACAGAACAAAGAATGTAAACTCAAGTACTGTACCATGTCCAAAAACAGGCTGTAACATCATTGCACTGAATGGTGTGGTCAGTGTCTGAGCGAGTGCTTTCCTGTAGTCTAAACTCCTCTGAGTAATGACAAACACAGTCATCCTGTCAGGAGCTGTAGCGGCGGCCAGGGTGTGTGTGTGTGTGTGTGTGTGTGTGTGTGTAAAATATTACATCAGCAACCAAACCTGACCCTGCCAGACAATAAAGGTCACTCCGAGTGCCAGCCACAAAAATGGGAGGAAGAGGCAGCCTTTCATTCCTATTCTGTCCGTTCTCTTGCGTTTTATTCCTCTGAGTGAAGGCCTTCCTGACCTCTGTGTGCAGGAACAAGTGGTGAGGAAGTCTGAGCTACTGTATGAGCACACACACACACACACAGTACTGATGACATATAGCTTCCTGGACAACTTTTTTTTTTAAATGTTTCTTTTATTTGTTCTATGGGGAGTGTTTGCTTCTAATGATCAAAGCAGGTTTAAACCAGAAACCATCATACCGATATAAAAAAGCTCTTTAAATAAATGACATAGTCATTTCACTTTTTTACAGCGTGGATGATGTCAGTTCCTGTCTAATTTACTCAAGTCTTCAACCAGAAAGGGTCCAAAACCGTTTTCTCTCTTTAAAATGAATGCTACATTTTGTTTTCTAATTTTCTAATTTTGTTTTTTAAGTGTCCAAAGACTTTTGGTGCCACCATACCTACATCTGATTGGGATTTGTTTGGATGTATTTTGGTTGGTCCATGAGTTTCCGGGTCGCCGGCGCACATTGTAATCTTAATGGTTAATGAACAATAGTCAGAAAATACATATGACTGACTTGACCGTGCACATTAAATCTTTTGTCAGGTCAGGCAGGTTATCTGCGCAATGATGGGAAAAGATTAAAGGGCAAATCACACAGAAACAGGCTGAGAGTTCAGAGAAGACACAAGCAATATAATGGCATGAGAGACTATCGGTGGGTTCAAGTCATCTCGTGAAGATCGTAACCTAATTTACGAGTTGAACGCACATGAACGCCACCACAATGTCGTAGTGGGAACCGGAAGCTCGGGATTTTCTTTAAGGGTTAGTTCACCCAAAAATGAAAACTCTGTCAGTAATTACTCTCCCTCATGTTGTTCCAACCCCGTAAGACCATCGTTCATTTTCGGAACACGAATTAAGATATTTTTGATGAAATCTGAGAGCTGGATCACTCCTCCATAGGCTTCTTCGGGAATTGAACTTGCCGGCCTCGAAAAGTTATTAAAGACATTGTTAAAATAGTCCAAGTTACTACAGTGGCTCAATCTTAAGTTTATCAAGCGACGAGAATACTTTTTGTGCGCAAAAACAAACATAAATAACGACTTTATTTCAACTATTCATGTCCATCTCCTTGGGCCTCGAGTCAGTTCACTAGTGTAATAGCGTAAGCTTCTGTTGTTGTACGTCATACGCATCACGCACATGACCAGCGTCGGCCAATAGTGAGCCTCCGTGTGACGTAACACCTAATGTCTTGGTTCTTCATTTTCTTGCTGTATTTTTGTGAAAGTACACAGTGTATCTATCTATCTATCTATCTATCTATCTATCTATCTATCTATCTATCTATCTATCTATCTATCTATCTATCTGTCTGTCTATCTATCTATCTATCTATCTATCTATCTATCTATCTATCTATCTATCTATCTATCTATCTATCTATCTATCTATCTATCTATCTATCTATCCATCTGTCTATCTAGCTATCCATCCATCCATCCATCCATCCATCCATCCATCCATCCATCTATCCATCTATCCATCTATCCATCCATCCATCTATCTATCTATCTATCTATCTGTCTATCTATCCATTTGTCTATCTAGCTATCTATCCATCCATCCATCTATCTATCTATCTATCTATCTATCTATCTATCTATCTATCTATCTATCTATCTGTCTGTCTGTCTATCCATCTGTCTGTCTATTTGTCTATCTAGCTATCCATCCATCCATCCATCCATCCATCCATCCATCCATCCATCCATCCATCCATCTATCCATCTATCGCTATGTCTGTCTGTCTATGAAAGAAGGGTAATTTGTATGAGATTTATATTCATTAGCAAGAGTAAATAATAACATACTCGAGACCCTGAATCTGAATGACTCAAGTATTTATGAAATTGCAGGTCATTTCAAATGAACACATTTTTGCTATGAGAAGTTAACTTCTACAGATATTTCTTACTCAATATGTAGAGCAGTGAACACTGCATTACATACACTGACAAAAAAAGGTGTAGAAACAATTTAAAATCAGAAATAATAATAAAAAAAAAAAAAATGTACAATATTAAACAGATTTTACATGTTTATTTGCCGTGTAAGAAATAGTTAAGTATGAGAAAATATTGCTGCCCTTACAAACCACTTCTTAAATGCTAATAATTATTTCTATTATTGGTCATTTTTCCAAATAAAGTTGCAATTAATAGTAATAATAACTATTATTAGAAGACATTAGAAACAGAAGATGGGAATATTATCAAGTCTGATTTATTCCGATTGAATAAACGCGTTTGCATGTGTGTACAGAAAACACTCCTCTATGTATTAACTTATTTTTATGCTTTATGTTTATTTATTTATTTTATGTTAAACTTGTAAACAAACTAAACTTGTTATTATAGTTGCGTTATTATTATTGCATGTTCATTGAAAGTTGTATGTTGTGCCTATGTCACCAAGACATAATTTATTTTTGAAATCAAAATGAAGGGGAAGTGCCATAGTACCGTACAATAGCCTATACAGTACAGGTGAAACTCGGAAAATTTAAATATTGTGCAACAGTTCATGTATTTTAGTAATTCAAATTAAAAAGTGAAACTAATATATTTAGTATATATAACTATTTACATATGCATGATCATACTTTTCAGAGGGCCACCATTTCTGTATTTAAAATCCTTTTTTTTTTTAAATTGATTTCATGTAATATTCTAATTTTCTGAGATTTTGAATGTGGGGTTTTCATAAGATATAAGCCATTATTATCAAAATTATAACTTTTGCACAATATTCAAATTTTTTGAGTTTCACCTGGATAAGATCAGATAGTAACAAATAATACCTTGGCGTTGTGATACATACTGTGGTACTGAATTATTACCATATTCTTATGGCACCATATTCAACATGATATTTACAAATATTACAGTTGGTTCTAATAATACATGGAATTACCACGATACCACATTCAAACCATAGCAGGCCCAGTACCATTTCAAACTTGCCAGTGTATCAACTGTCCACTAGGTGTCACCCATTCACCACATTAAAAAGCAGTGGCAGGACGTTCACTGTTGGTTGAGAATGAAACTATAAAATTCTCGCATATGGAACTAAAACTAGCAGGCAGAGGATAAAAAAGGTTTCTGTCAGTTAAACGTGAGTTACAGGTCATATGCTGAAGAGACCCATGAAGGTAGCGTGAGCTGTGAGGATGAGCTCTGCTGATTTACGGGGAACAGAGAGCTGAAGGGTGGATCCAGACTCCAGGAAGTAAATTCCTATGACAGAAACACATCCCAGCTAACAGGGAACGTTCCCAGAACATTCACTAACGTTCTTTAAAAGTTGTGTAAATGTTAGTACAAAACGTTATTAAAATAATGTTTTCGGAACGTTCATATAACGTTATTAACGTTCTTGTAACGTTGAGAGAAAACGTTCTTAGAACAATGTTCTTGGAACGTCTTTATGACGTTATTTGTGATTGATGAAAGTTCTCATTACGTTGATAGAAAACGTTCTTAGAACAATGTTCTTGGAACGTCTTTATAACGTTATTTGTGATTGATGAACGTTCTCATTACGTTGATAGAAAACGTTCTTAGAACAATGTTCTTGGAACCTCTTTATGACGTTATTTGTGATTGATGAAAGTTCTCATATCGTTGATAGAAAACGTTCTTAGAACAATGTTCTTGGAACGTCTTTATGACGTTTTTTGTGATTGATGAACGTTCTCATTACGTTGATAGAAAACGTTCTTAGAACAATGTTCTTGGAACGTCTTTATGACGTTTTTTGTGATTGATGAACGTTCTCATTACGTTGATAGAAAACGTTCTTAGAACAATGTTCTTGGAACGTCTTTATAATGTTATTTATGATTGATGAAAGTTCTCATTACGTTGATAGAAAACGTTTTTAGAACAATGTTCTTGGAACGTCTTTATGACGTTATTTGTGATTGATGAACGTTCTAATTACGTTGATAGAAAACGTTCTTAGAACAATGTTCTTGGAACGTCTTTATAACGTTATTTGTGATTGATGAAAGTTCTCATAACGTTGATAGAAAACGTTCTTAGAACAATGTTCTTGGAACGTCTTTATAACGTTATTTGTGGTTGATGAAAGTTCTCATAACGTTGATAGAAAACGTTCTTAGAACAATGTTCTTGGAACGTCTCTATGACGTTATTTGTGGTTGATGAAAGTTCTCATAACGTTGATAGAAAACATTCTTAGAACAATGTTCTTGGAACTTCTTTATGACGTTATTTGTGATTGATGAACGTTCTCATAACGTTGATAGAAAACATTCTTAGAACAATGTTCTTGGAACGTCTTTATGACGTTATTTGTGATTGATGAAAGTTCTCATAACGTTGATAGAAAACGTTCTTAGAACAATGTTCTTGGAACGTCTTTATAACGTTATTTGTGGTTGATGAAAGTTCTCATAACGTTGATAGAAAACGTTCTTAGAACAATGTTCTTGGAACGTCTCTATGACGTTATTTGTGGTTGATGAAAGTTCTCATTACGTTGATAGAAAACGTTCTTAGAACAATGTTCTTGGAACGTCTCTATGACGTTATTTGTGATTGATGAAAGTTCTCATAACGTTGATAGAAAACGTTCTTAGAACAATGTTCTTGGAACGTCTTTATGACGTTATTTGTGATTGATGAAAGTTCTCATAACGTTGATCGAAAACGTTCTTAGAACAATGTTCTTGGAACGTCTCTATGACGTTATTTGTGATTGATGAAAGTTCTCATAACGTTGATAGAAAACGTTCTTAGAACAATGTTCTTGGAACGTCTCTATGACGTTATTTGTGATTGATGAAAGTTCTCATAACGTTGATAGAAAACGTTCTTAGAACAATGTTCTTGGAACGTCTCTATGACGTTATTTGTGGTTGATGAAAGTTCTCATAATGTTGATAGAAAACGTTCTTAGAACAAGGTTCTTGGAACGTCTTTATTACGTTATTTATGATTGATGAACATTTTCATAACGTTGATAGAAAACGTTATTAGAACAACATTCTCAGAACATACTAATGTTATTAGTATTTTCTGAATGTTATATTTAGGCTATCATAAAACGTTCTGGGAACATGTTATTTGCTGAACATTCTCATAATGTTAAGTACACTTGATGAAGTAAACAGCATAGCTGACTTACAGATTCAGTTAACATCCACAAATGAATAAGCGCGACGATTCAGGGAGCAGCTATACAGTGAACTCTGAGAAAACGCTTGAGCAAACAGTGTGTGAATTGGTTACTACAAATGATGGCAAAGTGCCCGTGCAAAATCAGTTGTTGATTGTGTTTTTAGTAATTGTTGGTTTGGTGTGTTTGAGTGCTCATTGTTACAATTACACAGTAAAAGTTCAGTGACATTTTTATTTGTGCATGGTATAAGCAAATACAGATACTGACATAATGACATACACATAGTTTTTGTCAGAATGTTTATTTTTAACGATATCTTTTGCATTTCTAATCCAAACAATGTCAAACTTGACACTGCACTTACTCATGCCCGTAGCAAGAAACCTGTCAAGTTTGAAATCCATTGGACAAACAGTTCGAGAGATGTGTGGTTAACAGACAGACAGACAGACAGACAGACCTTTCTGTAATTTATAGATATGCTATTCACATTATGTGAAGCACTGTTAAATATATTGAAATACATTTTGAAAATATATTATTTCAAAAATACATTGAACATAAATCTTTTAAATTGTTCCTCATGTTACATCTGTAAATGTGTGTACATATTGTGTATTTTCTTAAAATATATCCATGCCTTAAATCATGTTTAGTTTTTAATAAATGTTTTTTGCAATTTTATTTCTACACCACGTTAACCATTTATATAAAGCTATATAATATTATAGCCTATTATAACCTATTATATAAATGACTTTGTGGTAAACATTGTTTTACACTCAATGCTTCATATTCTCATTCCGTTTACAGTTTGGTGATGGCCATGAGCCTATACACTTAATAATGTTAACCTCACATTTCAGGATATTTTATCTGATTATCAAATAATTCCCTCGATCAAATCTTCTTTAAATGCAGCGTGACTTCTACATTTTTTAATATGCGCGCGCACTGAACATTCGAGTTGCATTTGAACATTTGAACTGGAGTTACCATGGAAACGGGCGGGAGCTCATCTTTGGCTCAACTGACGACAAGCAGCAACTCCGTCTCTCACTGTTGGTTTCGCTAATTTCAGGTAAGTTTAGTCCCCAAAATTACACAAATAGTACATAAAAATGTTTCAGACACATTCTTTCATGGAAATAACACGCTTCCGTTGAATATTTACTTTATAGAAATGGTTTAGTGTCTTCGGGAAACGTCCGTTAGCATCTCAACTGTTAGGCTAACGGTAAGTTAACTAACTTAGAGGTGACGTTAGGTTGACTAGACTTTAGCTGTAAGTTTAGGCTTTAGGCTTTTAATCTTGATTCGAGGTTTTGTAAAGGTTTTAAATGCCATTTATGCCTAGTATTAACATGAATGTCACGCAACCGCTTAATTCACAGGTAACGTTAAGTTAACGTTAGTTTCAAGTCAGTTGAATCAACGTTTTATATGAATATGCTCTTTTAATTTGACGTTAAGCATACAGCCGCACACACATACGTTACACACAGTTGAATAACCTTACTACAAAAAATGTATATTCCTTGTCAAGCTACTTTTTTTTTTTTTGATGGAAGTTTTAATTTTCAGGTGTAACGTTAGCTAATCCTTTACAATGTGTTATTGAACCTTTCCATTGTATAACCTTTCTCCATTGAAACAATCTCCATTGTTAAAAGCGCTATATAAATGAAGATGACTTGACTTGACTTGACCTTTGTAAGCTACATTTTAATATTGTGTGGTTTAGTATTTATAGTACTCAAAGCACAGCCTAAATAACTTAAGGGTTAACATTTATGGAGTAGCCACACTGTTATTATTAAATGTTTATGAAATAATAAATCACCGTAACATCAGTCAATCTGTTCACTTTACAGACGGGGCATGAAGAGACTGGACCACAGACTGGACCACAGTGCTAGTTTGGCACCCCCACACTACTTATATTTAAGGGTTAGTTCACCCAAAAATGAATATTTTGTCAGTAAGTATACACCCTCATGTTGTTCCAAAGACTTCCATTCATTTTCAGAACACAAATTACGGTAAGATATTTTTCTAGGCAATTTCATTCTGCCAGCCCAGGAAGTTAGTAAAGACATTGTTAAAATAGTCCAATGGCGCTTTTCCACTGCATGATACGGTTCGGCTCGGCATGGCTCGCTTTAGCTCGGTTTGCTTTTCCACTGCAGTTAGTACCACTTCAAAGTGGGTGGGATTATAAAGACTGATCGTTTATAGTTTATCCGCTCCTCGGCAACCAACGAGATGAACATCTGCACTTCGTCCACTGAACACTATTCAGCTATTTATTTTTTGGAAGTTTTTTTTCTTTCTTTTTTCTTCAAGCAAGTAGTTTTAAAACAGGTGCTACAGCGGTGACTGTTACGGCCGTTTCACACCGCAAGCGTGAGCGGCGCTTGAGCAGCGCGTCAGCGTAACTACATCGTCACTGCAGCTGCAGACGCGCGAGAGTATTCACACTGGACGCGTCTGTACAGTGTCACTGCAGCGGCTCCAAAGCTACATATATAAGCGAGCAATTCTTTACAAAGAACTATAAATTTGTTTTTAGAAGTTGGTCATTTATAAAATTGATAGTCTTGAAAGTTTGTTATGGGGAGGTGTACAACATTCGCATATTTAAATGGTAAACAACAAAACAACACATAATCTTGTGCCCCAATCTTGTCGTTTCAGTCATACTTTCGATATGTTTACAAAGACTGCAAACTCCACGGATAAAAACAAGCAAATAAAACGCACACTCTTGTTTGATTTGGGTTATTGTGCCAGCCTATGTAGCTGTCTGTGTATTACATAAACTAAAAGAAAGTTTATATATAATATTTTCTGGCTAGTTTACTTTAGTTTAGTTTTTTATAATACACCATGCTTTCATACAAACTGAATAATGCAAAACAAATTTAAATGGGTAGCCTAATCTTCTATAAATATTTTTGAGTCTTCATTTTCTTTTTTTGCCTACTCCAGTTCTTGTTTAAACTCACTAAAAATTATTATGTGCATTTTGGGCACTTTTTGTGTGAAGTCATATTTATTTTGTCCATCAAAAGTGAGCTTTCACTTTAAT